AAAATTTTTTTTATTTGATTTAGATATGTGAAATATGGTATGCAGGAAAGTAATTCATCAACAACAATTGATACTTTGGAACTTTCACCTCCGCTAAATAAACAAAAACAAAATTCAGATGCAATTATAGACGAACTTGAGGTTAATTAAATTTTAAAATTTGCATTAAAATTGATAATATTCTTTTCTTCATTATTATCTTTTTTCTCCTCAAAATATTAAGAGCTTTTTAAAATTTAGAAAATTCTCTCAATAATCAGGTTAGCAAAGTGTTATCATGGCATTGCATATGATTGCAAGTGAAAATATAACATAAATTTATCGTCTGACTGAAACTCTTAATGTTAATCATTACAAGTTGTAAGTTTATTAAAATAAGTTATTGCTAAATTGGAATTTAAAACCTTTGAAGATATACTAATACTGCGCATTGGAATGGCTATATTTAATGATTATGATGAATCTTTCAAAGGGACCATCTGTGCTATTTTATGAATGATATTTGTTTCATTTATTTATTTTTGTTCTTATTTCTCTGAAAAAAAAAAACAAATGACTAAATTGTTTTGGAATATTTGCAGAAAAACGAAATAATTGAAGCACGAGCAGAACGACCAATGCATATGCAATTAGCTGAGAAAGTAAACTATCCATCGAATATTTTTGAAATGTATACATTAACGGGATATCCGAATCCGGAATATGCTCAACGTCGAAATTTATTCAGTATGGCGACAAAGAATCGAAATATGCCAAGAAAAACAAGAAATAGCAATATCATTTTACCAGAAATCTGAAAACAACAACAAAGAAACAAAAAAGTTATCAATAACATGAAATGCTAATATTTAAACATTAAATATTAAATATTTTAAAATGATTTAAACTACAAAATTTAACATTCAAAGACAGATCAAAATTAGAAATATGAATTAAAATTAAAATTAAATTTAAGCTGGTAGAATTTTCATTGAAACATAATCCAATTAATTTCAAATTTTCCATGCAACGGACAACGATTAGCTAACACGATTACAATCATTATCAATGATCATTGATGCATTATGTGATTAAATGATTATAATACTTATTTAATTGCAAAATTAATCGCTGTCATTGTGTATTTAGCTTTCGTTAGTTCAAAATAGACGGGTATTATTTGCATGGATGCTCTCAGATATTTATGTCAAAGATAAATTTATCAATATCGGTGATGCATAAATATAAATCTATCAATGATAATTATTATTCAATTTCATATCACAAGTGCAATATTTGCTAATTAATATTTATCAATTTATTACTTCATTTCATCTAGTTGTTCTGCTGTTTGCTAATGTATTGCTTATATAATTTCATGAAAAATTTTTTCGCAATTTAATTACTTAAATTAGCTGAGTTTATATTTATGTATATCATATCACAGTATCTGCTTGTCTACAGTTATTAATTTCGATGATTATTATGTATGATAATATAAATTACTGTACTAGTGCGATGCTAACCGTTTCATATTTCAAATTACTGATAAATATGTATTTTCAAAATTGCAAATGATTCGAAATTAACAAACATACATATTAAAAATGTAAAAAACTCTAAACATACATTCTGAAACAAATGTAATCAAGTATTTTAAAATCAATGATTAAACTGGTATACTGCTTAGAATTCTTCTTGCATACATTTATACGAGCCAATTTTGTTCCAAAAAATTCAAAAAAAAATATTGCTTCTTGCAAAGTTCTCGATGACAATGAACAACTTACCTTTTGAGGAATTTGGAGTGGAACGAAAAAAAGCAAAAACTTTTCAGTGTTTGAAGCAAAATTGGCAAAACAGTGATATTATTACTTTTATCATAATATACTCATTTTTCTTTCTCTTGTGAATAAACTATGAAACTTTTAGTTTTAATTTGATTTTTTAACTACTTTTTACTTTTTTTTCATGCTCTTTTCCGAATATAAATAGTACAGTCTTTAAATATAAATTTTATGCATATGAAATATTCAATTCATTTTCATTTCAAAAAAATATGCATCTTCCTTGCAGAATTCGAAAATGGCATAAATGAAATACTTCAAAATATACTCAATGACCTCGAATTTTGTAAAATTTAAATGATGGATAAGGATTCAGTGATAAGTTAGGAATGATTTGATATTACAATGCTTAAAAATACTGTATTAAACTATTATGAAATTCAAAAAATTGACTGCAGTGAAGAACAAGTACAATATTGGATGAAAATTTCGCTTCTTCTAACTTCATATTTAGTCAATTGAAATAATCAAAAATTGCACCATTTCAATTTCTTTAAATATATTTTTCCATTTCAATTACTAATTTATTCATTTTTGTTTTTAATAATTGCTTAAATTATAATTTTTTTTCTACTAATTATATTTTTTGTTGATTACTCTTTTTGTTCAAATGTTTTCGGTATGATTAGCTCAGATTAATTCATTATTAGATTTGATAATATCACTGTTGATATCTTGAATAAGGACGTACAATGTTGATCACTCCATTTAATCTACTCATTGATTTCCACCATTCTGGTCAACTGGCTTCTATCAGCATGTTTCGAAAACTATTCTTGTTCTTGAATATCCTTCAGCATCGCTTGACCTTTGTCACTCATACATGACACTTTGTCCTTGAACTTTGTCACTACTGGACCTCGATCATTTAGACACATACATTCAGACTTCCCATGAGAATAACAATGTCATGATTTCTCGATTTGCATTGTACCACATATCAAAATAATGCTAAATACATCGTTTTTACACAACGCTTTGATATCGACATAGACCCAATAATCATACGGAAAATGGCGAATCTGAATGTCCCGGTCATTTCGGAAAGGATTAAAAGGCTTTTATTTCTGGAGGTGAAGGATCAATAGAATAGAATGAAATTCTGTTAAGATGATCCGAAATTGAGAGAAGTGAGAGAAGTTGTGATGAACGAGATGAAAGAGTAATTTAATTGGTAAGAAGAGTTGCAAATAGCCAGTTTTTGCAATCAGAACAGTAATTCAGAATGAAGTTGACATGGTAATTAACAAATGGCAATGATTAGTATGATTTCCGGAGTTTTAGTAATATGGGACCACTAATTGGGAGCACTGACTAACATGGGACCATTGATTGATGAATATCTTATCACCAATATCAAGTGCTAGAAGTATTGAGTTAATTTTTGATGAGTTCTTTCTTTTTCTTTATTTTGCAATCGATGTCCACATCTGGAATATTGAACTGTATTTTGTTGAGTTTAGATAATTAAAAAATTATCATATCCGGTATTTTTTATCGAGTACTGAATATTTCTCTGGTATTTTTGAGTACTGTACCATCTTCGACACATAATTATTGTGCTCATTGCTTAAAAGTAAAATTCATTTTCTTATCCATTGTGCGTTTTTCGAAAAAGTAAAGAAGTAATAGAAGTATTGTTTTTTAGACATCATATCAAGAAGCTTGTGGGTTATGTGAATTTTAAAGTCGTTTTTGTTCAGGTTTGTTATGTTCTGGAATTTTTTGTAATAGTTTTATGAGGATCAAAGGTTGCTGTCTGAACTATAGCGTTTTGTCTGTTTTTCAGCTGTTGAGATACGACAGAAGTGAGATATATTCTGTTCAGATTTACAGCCAGTTTCTATTCAGTAGATAAACTTTACCGAAAAATATTCCAAAAGTTCAGCAAACAGATTCCACAGAAATGATTTTAAGGTTTCATTCGAGGAAAATCGCGCTTCTTAATAGTGTGAAAAAAGAAATCTTTTGTCTGCTCCACCATAGTTTTTTATTCCGATATAGATTATGATTTTTTATGGCTTTTAACGACTTTGTAATTGGATTAATTACTTTATTCCTTAATTGAGAATAATATCATTTGTAGCAATGGCACTTCTTGATTTGGATAACATAGCTCCACGTTTGGAAGGAAATTCAATGATTTCGATACCCCATTACAAAATTAAGGATGGTAAATACGCGGTAAACATATAATTTCTATCGAAAAAAAGTACAAATTGAAGTTATTATTATCCAAGAAAAACTATAGTCGAATTATAGATAGAAATTATTGGTTCAAAAAAATTTAGATGAAAAGACCTACATCAGAATTTCTCTAGTCTTCATTACGATTGACGAAAGCTTAGTTTTAGACTGGAACTTCCAAATTTTTATGATTATTAAATGTTATGAAATCATTAAAATGCTAGTCTTTTCTGAAAAAAGACACTGTTCTTAAATCATGATACATTGTACATTTAGGGAAATTTTGTCATACAACTTTATAGGTCTACGTTATTAGAGTGGCAATCGATTCAACTGTCTGGACTATAGAAAAGCGTTATAGCGATTTTGTAGCATTTGATTTACAACGATTTGAAGATCGTAAAAAATCATTTCTTCCACCTAAAAAATTGGTTGGAAATTTGGTGAGATTTTTTTATCATTTTGATTCCCATTTACGAATATTGTTGTATTCGTATAAGATATTTATATTAAGAGTCGTAAGTACATATCATTTATATACTAATTTCATCCTTATCTTTGAATTGCTTAAGATCCGACCCTGATTTTCAAAGCCAAATTGCTAAGTAATTTATAGGGTCATAACATCAATAGCATTGGTATTTGCAATAAATTATTTACTACAAAAAACAAAGATGTTTAATTTTCTTAGGACTTGGAATTTCTGAATGAAAGAAGGATTGAACTTGAAAAGTATATCCGAACTGTGGTTGAACTTGATCTGTGGTTACAGAGAAGGAAAAAACAATATGCGCTCCCGTCTCTGATCGCTCATTTTCTCGATTTCCAGGAATATGTTAGTCATAACTTCTCAGATTTAAGTTCAATGAATAATTTTGTTTAAAATAGGTTGGTGTGCATAAGCTGCAGGACTCTTTCTTCAGGACATCGGAAGAAAGAAATATGCGAGTTATCATATGTGTACATGAGCCTGCTGAGGGTTTTGAAGGTGGATACAGATGGCGTAAAGATGAAATATTGTGAATTGGAACGTGGGTCTGAAGAGGTCAGAGTTGTTTTAAGCGTTGAGATTGCTGCATGATAAAAATTCCTCGGGTGATAGATCTAGTCATAATTCTGATATTACTACCTTCAGTAGATGAGGACATGAAATGAATTGGTGATCCGATACTTTTTACAGTTAACGTTTGTTGAGATATTTTTCTAGCGTAGTTTCTAGCGAGTGGAGAATTTGATAAATAGTGTAAAAGGCGATATTTACGTCAATATTTTATCTATATATTTCATGGAAGAGAGAAGACGAAATAGCGGTAAAAATAATAGTGATGGTACTAGTAGTGTACGTGTTGGTAATAAAAACATAAGCAGTGATGTAAATTTGCTGCTTTAATTGCTAAGTCGTTTATTTTGTACCTCTTTGAGGTATTTCTAATTAATAGCGAAAACAGAGATACTGATTCTGACTTTTATTATAATCTAAGCTGTTCAGGATTTTTTCATTATGGAGACCTTTTTTAGGACTTATATATAGAGATAGATATAGATAGATAAATAGAGAATAAAAATTATCATAACATTTAGTTTTTAGCATATTGATCCTGAATAGCTTTCATTAACAGGTATAATCAAAGAATAGAAATGGTTGAGGTTGGAAAACAAAATCAGTTATCATCATTAGTTGCACCAGGAGCAGTAAGCTCCCCCCGAGAACCACTGATATTTTTTTTATGTCGCCAGTATTGTAAACGGGTCCATACATCCCTGACTGCTAAGTAAATCATTGTAACGTTCTTTATCATCAGAATACTTGCATCATAGTGTTTTCCATGTGTTGATATTTTCAGTAACACGTAAAGATAGATGCGGATTCCAAGATATGGTCCGTTCACCTGTAAATGTGGAGATTCATTAGGAGTTTCAATTTCTTTTCTTGATCTTATTAAAACCAAGGACAGATTGTTATTACATTTTATAAATTCCTAGTGAAATTAAATTTAGATTAATAAACAGTTTTCAACAAAAAAAAAAACTTTACTATTAGGACGTAGATGAGGGACCAGATCTTTTCGCTGACAAGTGCGAAACGTGGAAGGCGGCGACCAAAACTTAAGCGTATCAACGTGAAAACCGGCAAAATTAAATTGACGCAGGTCAGTAGGAGAATTGTTAAATCCATCCAGAATGGCAGATTCCAGCTGTTTTTCTAAACCGTTTGGGATTATATCATATGTAAATACTTATCATATTAATTGGCGTGGTTCTTATAGTTTTTTCGGTAATTACTTTCAGTTAGAGTGATTAATACAATTGAAAAAAAAATGCAAATCAGCTTTAGAGACAAAATTTATATTGATAATTATCAAAATCAATGTCACGTCATTAAACTGAATAAAAATTATAAAAAATGTGACGTTTGAACATAACTTACGAAAGACTGCCAGAGCAAGTCGAGGAAGCAAATTGTATCAATCAGGTCAAAAGTTACAGTAGTCATAAGATAAATCAGGTATAACTGTCGGTTACTGTTAACTGTCGTGTAATGATGCGATTCAAGCAAAAGTATGAAAATGGGTGCACTGAGTGATAAACCCAAACGGAATAGATGATCATCCAGAATTTTGTCATGTGAATCAATTTTAGTTGGCGGCAACTAAAATATAAATTATGCTAAAGATGTGACTGTGAAATTAGAAATCGATTGTTTGGGAGTGCTTAAATTAAATTTTATAGATCTAGACTTTCATCGTTTGTCAAATTAACAATAATTATATACCTGAGTATAGAAAAGACGGAAGCAAACGGCCACCTTTCCAGCGAGAACAGCTGAATACAAAAACCATCCAATCCATGTATATTTCACTTTACCATCTGCAGTACATTTTCAATTAAATATTCTCTTAGTACTTATAGTAATTTAGACTAGATTTTGTTAAGTACAATGGTATTGACTGAATGAAATTAAAGTTTTTTGTACCTGTAGAGCAAGCATCTTCCATATGTTGTTGATTGTTTCGTACCACTATAACAAGGAGCCATATGAGGATAACAATGACGAGTGAATCGGCTCCTATCCAGGTATACCAGATGTTGTCCTTCAGAACAGTTAAGTAATAGAAGTCTAGAAGGCCAAATTGTAAAATTACAAGTGCCAAGCACAGAATGAAAAGGAATACGTCGATGCAGCCACGTAAATAACGATCTGCAAGTACGAATAGTTTTTCCACATCCTCACTTCAAAATTCTTTTTTCTCTTATTAAATATTCAAAAAATACTGTTAATTATTGACAGATTCTTTTTATTATGATGAGATTATTTTTCGTTGATAATTTCAACGATAGGTCGAAATATAAAGCCTTACATAAAGAATAGTTAGTGATATATTACTGATACGACCGTTAACACTGTAGTCCGTCACACGAATTTAAAATACAGCACTATTCAATTTTCTAGAATTTACTAATATAGTGAATTTTGGAGTCTACATGTTTTTATATGAAATTTTTTGGCATCTCTTTTTATATTTATGGAACGCATGTACTGGTTGTGAATTCACTTTTGATATCAGAAAAGTAGTGATGTTATCATAATGCCCTAGTAATAATAGAAGTACTGATAAAACTCAATTATAATACTTATTTCAAAGATTGGAAAATGTCTCATCTTCGATACTGACATTATTTATAATTGTATTAAATTCACTCATATTTTGATGCACTGAATAATTGACCAACTTACTTGGTGTGACACTCATCTTCGACGTTGTTGAAGAAGCAAATCGTGTATTTCTATCGTTAGAAGTGAATTTTTCTGGAAAAGTTTCTTCCAATATGCCTGAATAATATGATTCGTGAGGAATGCGCTCCTCCTCGTTCTCCTCGATGGCCTCTTCAGCGGCCTGGCGCTCCTCCGAAATACTTTGATTTTCTACAAATCCTGAAGTATTCACATTGATCAGAAACCGAAGAGAGTGGGCGATAATAAGAGTGTGAACAGTTATGAAGCGTTATTTATCAAAAATTTTTCATGTGAAAAAGAAAAAAAGAGTGATACTAGGATAATTTTGGTAAACAGGGATTACAAGTGGTGTATATATGGAGCAAAAGGATCGGAGGATTTATTTAAAATGCTTGTTAAGCTGTGCTTGATGGGGTGGAGATATGGAAATTAGCACGAGATGGTTCGGAAGTGCTTTTTGTTTGACCTGAATTTGGCATAATTTGCTTTCATGTGCTAGGATTTCTTTTTCATTTTTGTTCGATAAAAATGAGTGTATGAGAAAAAGCTTTAGCTATTATGAAAAAAGGAGAAAGACAATCGTGTAACAGGGAAAATTAATGCTAGAACATTATGCTCCCTTCAAGGATTTATGAGAATTTTTGTTTTTCCTCGTCCTTTCTTATGTTAATCAAAAACATAATTACTCGGTATTTGAAAAGTTGAATAATGAGGGGAGGAAGTTTTTTTACTTGTATTAAACTGTTATCAAGTTAAACAAATATTTGCTACAGTTTATAAAAAGTTATCTTGACACATGCAAGAAGGTTGTGAAATTCTATCCGATGTTATTTCGCATATTTCTCAGAGACAAAAAGTTCAGATTATATAGATCTTTCCAGTTTCTGAAGTGAAAATGGATGTTACGGATATGGAATTAGTCATGTATGCATGATACATCACGCAATTTAAATACTTAATTAAGAATCAAGAGGCAGGTTTGGTGCTAGTTTGATTATTCCTTTGCTCTAAAATTATAATTAAAGTTAGAAATCCGGTATCCTAAGTAATTGCAAATAAGATAATTAGGGACAACTGCTAGTTTCTGAATTTAAAGTGTTATTGAAAGTGGCATACAAATATAAAAGAAGGTATGGTATGGTAGCTAACGAGAAAGCATGGTAGCTAACGGGATCGATTAATTCTATTCATGGTCACAGAAAGAGTTGTATTGTGAGAAATAGATCTAAGCTTAGTTACAACATATGTGTAATTTAATAGAGAATGGAATGGAAAGAGAATATTGGAGATTAGCCGGGTCTTCCAGGCGTCAGCTGTGTGTTTATTGACCATTAGAATCGGTGTGATTAAATAAAGCACACACTATTTCTAGCATTCTCTAAACATAAATTTTAAGAAAGAATAGCAATGCAGTAATTTTAAAAGAAAATTCATCGAAAACCTAAAAATTCATTCACCACAGATATAAAATTATCTTGCATTAGCATGGAATTAAGTAGTATATTGACAAGCAAACTATATGTAATCATTATCACCAAAATTATTAACAGTATTTGCTCAAAATTTTAAATTAGTTTTGGAAGCGAACTTTTTGGCCTTTATATCTGTTGGGAAAGAAAGGGAGAATACAATTAAAATATGATATGTGAAAATAGCTAAAATTTTCAAAATCAAAGTATTAGTGGAATTTTAACGAAAACGCACGGGTTGAAAAGTTTTACTAAAAAATAACGCAACCGGAAAAGGATCTCCTAATCTTTCTGTTTCACTGTATAATTTTTATATCTAATCTTTTCAGCAAATATTATCACAATTTTATATTAGTAACTAATGCAAGAACAGTATACAGGTCTGTTAATATCTCTGATTAAACTTCCTAATGACTATCGGCAGTTTTGATAGTTGTCGAGGAAAGTGAAGGGACTGATTTCAATTCATGTGCAGACTATGATCGATTTTATGGTACTAAGAGACAGTCAGTTACTAAATTGACTAATTTAAAATAATATCACCACAACAATACTCGATTACTATTTTTACTGAGGAAGACATAAAGAGAATAGAGCTTATATCGGAAGATTAACATGTAGTTAATGAGGGTGTTGAGCACCACCACGGTAAACATCCACAAACATTTGTTTGCTTGTCTACTTGAAAGGAATATTGTTTCTTCGGCATCCTGTTTT